CACTGCGCCGCCTCTGAGCCTCAGTATGCTGCTCTCTTTCCTTCTAGTTGAAGAATTTCCCCTCAGCCAGCTTTCCTATGGTTCTGGATGATGTCCGTTCCGTCTTTTAGTTATATTTTTGAAGTGGTTGTTCGAGGCAGCAAACTCCGGTGTTTACCTATGCCGCCATCTTGGTTGTCCCCTCCCCATCCCTTCGATCTCCCTCCAGGGAGTGTCTTCTCCCTCTTCCTGCTCGTTTTCCTCTATGCTGCCCCTTGTAGGTCCTGGTCCTCAAGAACAGGTAAGGAGTATCTGTCCTTAAAAGCTCCTCTGATTGTTTTCTTATAAGGACTCTGACTCTGTAACTACATCCGGAACTCAGACACTGAGCTGCTCCCTTCTGTCTGGTTAGTGCATGAGGCTGGCTCCACTCAGGACGAAGGTGCTTGCCAACCCCGCTTCTGCACAATCCTCTGCAGCCAGCCAACCATGGCCAAGGACATCAGTGTAAAGGCTGTATCTATGGAAGGCCTCTGGATGAACCCACCTGGGCTGCCCATCACAGCCCTGGTCGGCCCTGGTCAACCTCCTGAATCAGATAGGAGGGAGTGGGGACATGGGACTCTATTGTTAACAAGATCTTTGGAGGATTGCAATGGAGAGTCAGAATTGGGAACTGCCAATTAGTGTGGTGTCCCATGTTACAGGCTTGAAAAGAGGCCATAGTGAGAGACATGCCTAAGCACACACACCTGATTAAGGATAGGGTTGGGGCCAGAACCCATAGGACTGCTCTTGGGATCTTTCCACTAACCTCCCTCCTGCCGCACCCTCCAGCAGGCATGACCTGGCCCTTTGCCTTAGGCTGCCTCCCGTTCCCACAGCTACACCCTCACTTGGCCAGAGGAGATAGACCTTCCCAGGAAATGGCCCCAAAGGCTTCCACATGTGCTACTAAAAGGAGTTTTTTTGGGTAAAATAGGAATTTTGGGGGGGTGAAATAGGCACGTTTAGGAAATTTTAAAAATTAAGGGGTCCATGGAAAAAACACAGGGCTACAGAGTTGCAAAAGGGTACATTTCCATTAGACAAGGGAGTGGCTGAAGTTATATTTCCATAAGACAAGGGAGCTGGGAGTAGCAAAAGGTACACATTTACAAAATAAATGGAAGGAGGATGAAAGCCCAGAGGGAATAGGGAAACAATAAGGAAGGAGGGGAGGAGAGCCTCACATGTCCCATGTGAGGTTAAACCTTTGAGCTCAGGAGTAGCTATAGTGACCAATCAGAGGGGATAATCTTTCCCTCTCCCAACGTGGGAGTCTGTACTTGTTCTTCAATAAATTTCTATCTTTACTATATCATCTTTCATCACTGGTTTCATTCTTTGACTCCGATGGACAAAGAGCCCGGGAAAAGCCATCCTGCCCAGGGAACACTGGGTGTTCCAGTCCAAAAATCCTGTATCAATATTAAATGAGATAAGTTCACTGGGCGTGGGAATCTGACACACAGGCCTCCCCTCCTGCAGTCATATGTTCTTCCCCTGAGACACAAGTCCACTTCCAACTGTTTCCTAACTGACACCATTTCACGACTGTGGCCTCCCCTGGGAGGGATTTCCCAGTAACCCAGTGGGTCAGCCCCATGTCTTGGCTGACTCAACCTCTCCTGGCCATAAGCTTCCTCCCACTTCTCCACTGACCCCTCATCTGAGTGCCCAGTCTCCTCTGCCCTGCCCAGCACATTCCCCTCCTCTGTCACTAGCTGATGCACCAGGGGTGGGAAATGTCCAGTCCCGGGCCATCCATATAAGGCCCGAGAAATCATTTGGTCTGGCCCTGCCCCCGGCATTAGGAGTGAGTTAATTAAGTGTTTGATGAAATATAGCAGGCTAATTTTTAAGTTGATAATGTTGTATGGCCTGAGAATGATGTTAGAAATATCCAAATGGCCCTTGGCAGAAAAAAGGTTCCCCACCCCTGCACTAGGGAGAAAGACACCTCACTGGGACAGCCCCACTGCTTCTTTCCCATTTGTTCTAAAACCTCCCCAGTACTCTCTCTGCACCCCACCTCACAATCACAGCCACTCAGTGGGCATGGAGGACCAGGGCAAAGACCTGTTAGGATTGGGATTCAATTATTCTTATTACACAGATAAGTTCAGTGAGGTAAAAAGGAGGATGAAAGAAAATATTGCTTTAAAAAAACTCACATCAGTGTCTTGCCTGCTGTTGAGTGCATTATAGATTTTCAACAAATATTTGTTGACAGAAAATATATAGGAAAATTTAATAATACAAATAAGCACCAGGAAGAAAATAAAAATTAATCTCACCAGTAAATCACTGCTGTTAACAGTTTGGTTGTTATTTTTCCAAACTTAAAAATTTACAGCCCTCGGCTGGGATCTAACTTCTTGCTGCTATGGGTATCCAGCTACTAGGTAATCAAAATACAGTCAAAACTTGTTTCTCGAACGTCTTCCATCTCGAACTATTCGGTTCTCGATCAAGTTGTTCACAGAGGAAAATTTCTTGGTTGTGGACCAAAACTTCAGTTTTTGACCTAACTGCACTTTCATGCTGATACTTCAGTCTCAGCATGACAAAAAGCATCTTGCAGGCTACAAACGAAAGAGAGAATGCTTTTGTTGATGGTGATTAGAACAATTTTAAAACATAAAGAGACCATTAAGAATGCTAATATTGCTAAGGGTGTTCAAATGCTCACAAAACAGCAATCACAGGCAATTGAATAAGTAGAAAAACTGTTGTTGAATGGCTGTAGGAAAAGCAGTTAGCCTGTGATAGCATTTCGGAGGCCGTGAAAAGGGATTGTTCGATAAATTTATGAAAAGTTTTTGTTTATAGTTTAAACAGTACAGTACATATGTACTGTATATAAGAAAGGATGAAACAGGGAATCATTTGGGGGGTCTGGTACAGATTAATTCAATTTACATTATTTCTAATGGGAAAAATAATTCCATTTTCAAACAGCCTTCTGGAACGAATTAAGTTCGAGAAACGAGGTTCCACTGTACATAAATGTGTATTTGTCTTGTTGTTAATCCTCACTGGAGAATATTTTTTCATTGATTTTTAGAGAGAGTGGAAGGAAGAAACATTGGTGTGGAGAGAGACATTGATTGGTTGCCTTCTACTCACGCCTGGCTGGGGATCTAGCCTGAGGTACGTGCCCTTGACTAGAATGGAACCAGGAGCTCTTCAGTCTGAGAGCCAACATTCTATCCGCTGAGCCAAACCAGCTAGGGCTGTTTGCTTTATTTTTATGGATGTGCAAAGATGTATGTACATGGCTGGTCATTGCAAAGTGATGTGTAAAAATGGAACACTACTCTGCAGTGCATTCTATGCAGGCACTAGAACACTGTAGGGACAGAACCTGGATCAGCACTCTGGATCTGCAGTCACTTCGGCCTAGCATGAGGTGATCAAGAGAAGTCTTTAGGCCGAAACCGGTTTGGCTCAGTGGATAGAGCGTCGGCCTGTGGACTGAAAGGTCCCAGGTTCGATTCCGGTCAAGTGCATGTACCTGGGTTGCGGGCACATCCCCAGTAGGAGATGTGCAGGAGGCAGCTGATCGATGTCTCTCTCTCATCGATGTTTCTAACTCTCTATCTCTCTCCCTTCCTCTCTGTAAAAAATCAATAAAATATATTAAAAAAAAGAGAGAAATCTTTAGCCTCTTCCACTAAGAATCTTCTGTCTTCAATTCAAATGAGAAAACACATATCCATGGCAGCATCTTTCAACATTTCCAGTCTACAAAGACAGAGATAGGATTGAAATGGTTTTCAAAGATGCTCAAGCGTCAGTAAATAATGTATTTCTAAAGGTTGTGCTAGAGCAGAAATAGAATATTGGGGATCAGCTATCATTATAAGAAATATTAACATGCTCTGTTAATTGTGATTGTTTTGTTTTGATTAAAGAAGGCACATTATAACCTGGTTGGGAGTTGCACGTGAGACCTGGGAGCTCACCTGGAAATGAAGCCCACCCTCTACATCCGGGAGCTGCCTGTTATCATGGAAAGCTTAACAACCTTGTTGCAGAAACCAAAGGCCCTTTGTATACCCCTGGCTTTTGCAAACCTCCAGTCTGTATTTACCTGTAAATTGCTCATTTTGCATACCCATTCTTATCCCTTTTGCCTACTTCCCCAAGTAATCTTTGTCCTTCTACCCAATATAAGCAGCTGGCTTATGCTGGGGTGCAAAGCAGATTTTTGTGGATGACCTGCTGCTCTCCCATCCTGCTGACATTATTGGAATAAACACTCATATATGATTCAGCCCTGTCTCTGCTTAATTGGCTCAAACAGTGACAGGCAGCACAGACCCCTTGGTTTTCCAGTTACAGTTGTATTGATTGGGTTGTCTTCTAACCATTGGGTTGTTTGAAGATATGGAGTGGGAACGTGGTGGGGGGGGGTGCGCATGTCACACATAATAAATACATTCCATCCTTCCAATCTCTCAGTCTTTAGATTTAGTCTTCAAGACTTTGTGGCATCTCAATTTTATCTACCTTTGAACAAGTTTGATTTCTACTTTTAATCAACAAGTTGAGCAAACAATCAAAGTAATCCCCAGATATCCCAGGTAGGACAGTGTTAGGTCGCTGAAGGAGGAAGCCACGAGGCCAAAATGGTGAGGGATTACAAATCCATTCGATCATCGGCATACCAGGTGGCTGAGACTGGATGGCCCCGGCACCCAGTGATGGGAGTCAGCGGCTTTTAAAGGACTTTTGGTAGGCTTTTTTCTGAGCGGAGACTTCTTTGTATATTCCCGGAGGGGAGATAATGGAATGTGGTCACCGCAAGTGAAATGTGGTCTCAGCAAAGGGAATGTCCATAGTGAAATGACCTGAAAAGCCAGTTCCCAGGGGAGGGGTATAGATTCAATTATTTGATCAGACCTAACAGACAGTGGGTCCAGAATTCAGCCAGGTTTAACACTGTATCTTTCTTTCCGTGGTCAAGAATTCATTTCCACACACAATCCCCCGATTTGTGCTGTTGTTAAGTCAGCAGTCTTACAGGTTATTTTTGTGTATGAGCCTTCCTTGCAAGGTGTGACTTTGTAATTGGCTCCCCAGGGCATAGTGGGATTTCCTGAAGTTACAGATCAAAATAAAAAGAGGGGTAGGGCGAGGGGGGAGGGGCTTTATTAGTGGACAAAAGGAGGTCCCAAAGATTTTGTGCTTAGGTATAGTTTGGGTTCTACAAATCTTGTGAATGCCCATGATGAGTCTTGGGGGACTCACTCTTTCTGCATCAGAACCCTAAATTTTCACACAGGGAAGCTGTGAATTAAATTGACAGAATCAAACTGCCCTTGGTTGTCTGCTAAATCATATGGCTGCTGGAGGTTTTAGTTCTTCTCATTGAGCTTTGCACGGTATCCCTAGGCTCTCTGCTGCCTTAGGCAACAGTCAGCACTACTGTCTGCTTCTGAGAAAGGGTATAGAAATGTGCACCAATTCCATGACACTTCCAATGCAATGTCAACAAGCAAATGGGTATCTGGAAGCCCTGCCTCGTGGGCACTGCATTGCAGATGACAATCAGCAATAATTTACTTAGCTGTTGTGCCAGATGCCCAGACCTAAAGAACTAGTTAGAGATTTCCTCTAACTCTAGCCTTAACTAGTCTGGATAATCAATACCATCAATACTATTTTCATGCATATCCTGTTGCCTGAAACCCACTTCTAATCCCAATTTATGTACCAGTTAGGAAATTTGGGTTTAAAACAGGAACTAACTTTGGCTACCTGAAACAGGTAAGGCAAACCTATTACTGAAGAGAAGGCTGGAGAAAGAAGCTTAGAAATGGGGCCGGCTCCAAGGGGAACTAAGCAGCCAGAGTTCAGCCAAGGTCACACAGAGCCCCAGTCTGTGAGGAAGTGTCTTCCACTGGAGCCAGTGCCAGAAGGGTGTCTAACTCCTGCTTCTGGATTTCTCTCTCTTGATGTACAAACTCGGAGTGGCTAAGCTAAGGGCATGTGTCCAAGCCCTCACTGCCAAACAATGGGAGATGAACTATCTGGTATTTTGGTTTATGTAGTAAGAGATGAGGGTATGACTTTTAATAAATTATGTTCATGTAATTGCAGATTGCCAAAACATATAAATAAGGTTCAGGCAGTCAAAAAAAGAAAAAGAAAACACAAGTGACCCCTACAGTCTACTTGAACAGGGCTGCAGGGGAGCAAAGAAGCCTTCCTATAGATCTGAACTGTGCACAGGCTCATTATCAAGGAACTCGGCATGGGAGAGGAAGCTCGAGTCCCAACACTCAGAGCCTGGATCTGAACCTGGGATGGTGTGACCTGCTTTCCCAAGTAAGAAAAACGAATCTAGTCTAATGAGCACTTTTTGCTTCCTGAACAAAATCCACAACTTCAATACTAAGAAATGTTTCTTGTTTGGTATGCTTCTTGACAGATGGTGCCACTATAAATTACCTCTCCTACTACCCTGCTCCATTTTTCCTCAGGTCCCACCTCTACACCCTGGCAGTCATCTATGCCTATTGACTTACTGAGTGAAACAATGGTAAATTGGATCTCTAGGGGGCAGAGTAAACAATCAGTAGATTGATTTATAGTGTTTGCCAATTTCCATGGTGTAAATACTCTCACCACAGATTATTTCAAAGCTAGCAATGGTTTAACAGAGCTGGAAGTGCCTTTAGAATCATTCTGAATTGTGGTGCCCATAAATTTTGGCTGTCACAACCTTTGGAAGTTAGGAAGGATTAAAAGAAGGCTGGGCCTATCAGACATTATATCAAGATCCCTGGGGAATCTGAACATTTAACAACTTCTTAAATAATTTGAATGCCTAATCAGGTTTGAGAAACACTGCCTGGTCTCATCTCCAGAGATCAGGCTGACTGATCTCACTGCTAAATGACCCTCTTTTGACCAAGAACTCACCTCTCTTTGTCCAGAGACTCCTCCTTGGGGCACTCCAAAGCCTTTCTCCCTACTATCTTTCAGCTTCTTCCAATTCCTGACTAAAGGCACTGGCTCATTAAACCATGGCTTGTAGGTGGCATGAAAGCTCCCTCCTTTCCAGTGGCATCTACTCTAATCCTCTTCAGGACCCTGTCTTCCCCCACAGCTTCCTCCTGGGCTCCACTAGATGGAGCTAGGCTTCCCCTCTCATCTGTCTGCTCTTCCTCCCGCTGCTCATGGCCTGGCCCTTGGTTCTGATAGGATTCTCCAGGAGTTAGGCTGGTAGTAGGGAGGCTGTCAGCTCTGACGGTGGTAGTGGTTAAAGAGGGCAAGGTGCAAGATGTAGTTTTTTTCTGGGATATTCTGTTGTTCCCCAAAATACTGGCCCTCTAAAAGTTTTAACAGAAGCAGTCAATCACCGATGTGCCTTAAAATATGTGGGCATTTGCCTTTCCCCAGAGTTTCTAGGGAAATGGCTGGAAGACTCTTTGGGGAAACTAGGGGGAAGATCACAGCCATGGTCGACATTTTGGTAGGCCCTCTTCTGAAGCTTACTTAGACTTCCCTTTCAAGGAATGCGGGGCCTCTGAACTGATTCAGATCTGGGAACTGGATAAGAGGTCAGGAATCTCTATTGTGCTGTCTATTGTGTTAGCTCAGATCTGCAAATCAGTTATGACAGGGGTGGCCTTGCCATTCTCAGTCCCAAGGACCTCATGGACAATCAACCACAGAGAAGATCTATGTGGCACTGACCACATAAAGCAATCTCCAGACTTGCAATTTGAACTCTGACATCCTAGGATTTTTTCCTGTCCCCACTGAAATCAGGGAATCCTTTATGCTATAATGGCTCGGGCTAGCATTCCTGTCTATGGAGAACAGCTACTAAAATGCTTTTCAAAGATGTAGAAGCTCTACACACTCATGCACTTTTCAAAACCTTAGTGAAGGGAGTCATTGTTGAGTGGATGGGTAAGTCACACTTGATAAATCCTCTCCAGCTGGGGCTATGGATTCTCTCTACCAAGTAGTGCTAACAATTCCTTGGTATTGTTATGTAAAATGCATTTAGAATTGGCCAGCTGTGAATCCTGATTCAAGTCCACAACTGAGCAAACAGGTTTATCCCAGTTGCTGTAGATGTGGCATTTTAATTAGAATGTTAATTGGGTACACTCATAAAAATAAATTCAGACTTAAAATTATACTCTTCCTACTTCATAAAATACTTCAAGAATCCACATCAACATGTGTTCAAGATTTCCTTGATATAAATTAGCCAGTTTGAAATTATTTGGGGGTGTGAGTCTTCCCCCCTCAGCAACGGGCACCCAGGATCAGCTGAGATCTTTCTGTTGCTCTAGAGCAGCGGTTCTCAACCTGTGGGTCGCGACCCCTTTGGCGGTCGAACGACCCTTTTACAGGGGTCACCTAAGACCATCCTGCATATCAGATATTTACATTACGATTCATAACAGTAGCAACATTACAGTTATGAAGTAGCAACAAAAATAATTTTATGGTTGGGTCACTACATGAGGAACTGTATTTAAAGGGCCAGAGGTTGAGAACCACTGCTCTAGATGGAGAGACAATGAGGAGTGGGGCAACTGATCTCTTGCAATGGAAACCCCTCAATCTGAGCCATTCAGCTTTCAGACAGGAAGAAGAGGCTGGTGTAGGTTATTTTGAGTTTTGGTGTAGGGATAATTTGAGTTTCCCAAATGCTCTCATAAATCCACATTACAATTTGTGAAGTCCCACTCTTTCTTAATCACGGACCTATTTCAACAAGGAGACTGGTGAAAGCTGTAGGCTCCACTGACATTAGTTTGGCAACCCTCGGATCAGCCTTTACTTTTAATTTCAGCTATTTCAGGTGTTCTGTGACAGGAGATAAGAGATTATCTCAGTCCAGTCAGAGAAAGTCCTGGGTTCCCTGCCCATATAGAGTGACACTTGAGCTATTAATTAGTTGCTTTCTTTAAACTGCTTGGATCAGCCATCCAGCTCTGTAACCACTTCTAGGATTTCATGGGGACTCAATTGATCCCTAGAGAACTTTCGGCAAAAATTCACTCAAGTTTTTCTACTGTATGATATGGGCTCCTAGATTAGCATCCTTCAAGCTACGTACATTTTCATTTTTTTCGGGTCCAATAAAGCCAGATTAAAGAGAGAGAGAGAGAGAGAGAGAGAGAGAGAGAGAGAGAGAGAGAGAGATTTTCCTAACATTCAAGGGAGGAATTACCTGGCATTTTAGTTTTCCTCAGCCAGAGACAGGACTCTTGTCTTCCACCAAGTCTGAGACAATTGTAAATTCCTGAATTGGAGTTCAGAGGGTTCAGATGCTGGGCAAAGGAAAAAGAATAATATGTTCATCACAAAACTAGCAGAACACTCAACCTTGGATAAACTGAATTTATGTAGGGAGAAACTGGGTTTGTCAGGGGAGGCTTTCTGATAAAGTACTAACCTTCTTCTCTCCTTGCAGGCTGAATCAGTGTGGTGGGAAAAGCTGAAAGGAGAACATTGTGTTCAGGGGGTAAAACTAAAATAAACTTGGTCAGGGGGCACCCGGACTTGAACCGGGGACCTCTTGATCTGCAGTCAAATGCTCTACCACTGAGCTATACCCCCACCTGCTTACCTAAGCCTAATAAGTACTCTAAACCTATAAAGCCACACCCTGACTGTCACCACCTTGAGATGTGTTCTTGCTAGTACTATGTCATCATATACTCTGCAAACTGGGGTTTTATCTTGGGAGTTTGACAAGATTTACATAATAAAAGAACCACATTTAGGGCTCCAGCCTACTAACAGGCCTCCCACCACCTCAAGGGAAGGTTGAACCCCCTGGAGGTTGAACACACTGTTTGCTGTGTGTGCAAACTCACCATGTGCACACAGCAGTGTGCGATGCTCACTGTCACCTCATAACAGGCTGTCTGTCTGTAATCAATGTGCTTCCCATCATTGGAGATAGCAGTCTGCTGCAGTGCCTGACAGAATAGCTCTAAGTTTTTCTGTGAACATACAATTCTGAGATACAGGTTTTAAGGTATTGGGCCTGTACCAAGTTTAAAAATCCAACGTTTAAGCTCAAGGTGCAAGCTAGCTACACAGAACTCACGGTGGCCATTACACTATTTTCTGGGCATTTGCTTTGGTTGATGCGGGTCATGAGTTAAATCATTTAAGCAATTTAATAAATTGTGTATTTATCATTCTGTTCATTTTCAGCTAACAACCTGAGAGAAGATTACAAATTCCACCACACTTTCAGCACCGAAATTGCAAAGTTCTTGAAAGTCTCCCCAGGGAAGTTGGTCATGATGCAGCCTGAGAAATTCCAGTCCAAATACGAGCCCAGGAGCAACATGATGGACATCCAGGTGGGTGAGGGCGCTTGGGACATGGGACAATGCGTGCTTCTAACAAGCTCCCAACAATTCTGACTCACATACAGTTTTGGAGTTATTGATTTAATTTGTGCTCTTACTTGTATAGACCTGAAAAAAAAGTCAGAAATTAAAATCATCCCCAAACAAAACGTACCTGGTTAATGACAAAGTCACAACAATGTTTATTCTCAAGAGCCTTTTTGTGCTAAACACACTGAGACCCTCTTGATTTCTCCTCTTCTTCCCCCTTATTCTGCACTTGCGGAGTCCTTCCATATGCCAGATGGAAGTATGCCGTGCATGGAAAAGTGATGAAGTGACAATGAGAGAGATTTATAGTCACTGCAGCATAGACACAGGACAGAGTCAACATGTGGCCAGAACAAAAGGGAGTGCCAACAGGTGACACTTGAATCAGGAACTACTGGATATGCAGTCAAATACTCCACCCCTGTCCACAGATATCTCCTGTTTACTTTCCTGATTAGAACCATTTCACCTGTGTTGTCCCACCCAAGGATCCAATGTGTATTGCAATTTCTCTTAATTTCTAGTAAACTAATGGGAACTGACTGACTAACTGATCTTGCTTTAAAGAGAAAGAGAAATATAAAAAGCAACATGTGAAAAAAAATTGAATTCTACAATTGACAGCTGACTTATCAATAGAAGTGATGGTATCCAGGTCACAATGGAAAAGTATTTTTATAGTGCTAAAAGAAAAATAATAGCCCAACTAGAATTGTTTACAGCAGCAGTTACTTTAAATACAAATTAATTAAAAACTCCAATTATGTCCTGGTTGGTTTGGCTCAGTGGATAGAGCATTAGCATGTGGACTGAAAGGTCCCAGGTTCGATTCTGGTCGGGGGCACATGCCTGGGTTGCGGGCTCGATCCCCAGTGGGAGACGTGCAGGGGAGCAGCCAATCAGTGATTCTCTGTCATCATAGATGTTTCTGTCTCTCTCTCCCTCTCCCTTCCTCTCTGAAGTCAATAAAGACATATTTAAAAAAAGAACACACAAAAAAACTCCAATTAAAATATAAGATTTTCAGACTGAATGAGAAAAAACTATTAGCTACATATGTGAATGTCACCTTAAATATGGGGACACAGAAAAGTGGAGAGTGGAAGTATAAATAAAGATATATTATGCAAATACTAAACAAAAAGACTGGTATAGCAATATTAATATGAAAAATAGATTTAAGTCAGTAAGCATTCTTACAGAAAAAAGGAATATTTTAAAATGATAAAGAAGTCAATCCATCAGGAATATATTGCAATTCTAAATCTAAATGCACCCAATAACATAGTGTCAAATACATAAAACAAAAATGAACAGAGCTAAAAGAAGAAATAGACAAATTCTCAACCATAGTGGGAGGTTTTAACACAACTTTTTCAATAGCTAATAAAACGGGCAAATAAAATATCAGTAAGAATGTGGAGAATCTGAATAACAGAACCAGCAAACATGACCTAATTGATTTTATATATATGTATATGTTATTTTCACAAAAACCAGGATACAAGCAAGAGGGAAAAGATGTAATAATAAAAGGGGCACCGACTGGTTGGTATGCTAAGTGGTTAGAGCGGAAGCCTGTGCACCAGAGGATCACAGGTTTGATTCCTAATCAGGGGCATGTACTTGGGTTGCAGGTTCGGCCTCTGCTCTCCCGTCAGGGCATGAGCGGAAGGCAACCAATCGATGTGTGTCTCTCACATGGGTGTGTCTCTCTCAGATGTATCTCTGATGTTTCTCTCCCTCTCCCTCACTCTTTTCCCTCCCCTCTCCCTTCCACTCTCTCTAAAATTCAATGGAAAAAATATTCTCACTACTTGGTTGAGGATTAAAAAATTCTTTTAAATATGTATTTTTATTTACTTCAGAGAGGAAGGGAGAGGAAGAGAGAGATAGAAACATCAATGATGACAGGGAATCATTGATTGGCTGCCTCCTGCACATTGGACCAAGCCCACAACCCAGGCATGTGACTTTGACCAGAATCAAACCTGGGACCCTTTGGTCCACAGGCTGACACTCTATCCACCAAGCCAAACTGGCTAAAAAGACTTTTTTAAACTTAAGGGGACACAAAGGGATCCTGGAGCTGGGGGTGTCCTATTTTTGAGCTGATGATCCATTTGTGGGTATCTATAAGTATTT